AATGTTGGATGATATTTTACAGAGTATTTTTATAAATGATCTGCTAGGAACAGTAGTCAGTATCTAGATGTTGTTTGGAATTAGCCCTGGCAGTAGAAGGTATTTGGTAACTGAGCATCTGCTGTAAAAAATATTTGTAAAAGTGCTGTGGGTTCACCGCCTGAGTTTAGTGTATTGGGTTTGCGATATAGATTAGTCAGTGGGTGTTGTCTTCAATGGTGCTGGCACAGCAGTTACAGGTTGAATTGGAGTACTTCTTGATATGCTAGTAGTGTAGGTTTAGTAATTTAGGCAACTTGTCTAATATGATTTTAATTTTAAAATTTTTCTTTTGGCAACTTTAGATATGTAAATCGATATGTGGTTTATTATTGTAGTTGATTACAAATACGGGCCCAAATTAAAAATAATTACATATAAAGGGATAAGAGAAATTCATGTATAATAGACCAGTTTATTTGGTGATATATGCTGTTCTAACAGCTTACTCTGTTGAATGAATGTCACTGTACAGTATTTGTTGTATTTTGCAAGTAATGAATAAAGCAGTATGTTTTGTGCTTAACTGATACATTATTCTAAATTAAATAGAAATTGTTGTTTTGAGTATATGTAGTTGAAGTAAAAGTTTGTACTGCTAAGAGAAGGGTAATTGCATAGTTCAATAGAAGAGTAAATAATTTGTCTTGTGATTAATATAGATAAGTTTAATTGTAAGATTTTTGAATTGGCAGTAGTATAGATTAGTAGTTTAAAAGGTCAGAAATTATATATTGGATACTGAGGTTAAAGTAAAGTGAAGATTAAATAATAGAGTTAATTGTAGATTTGTGAAAGATGAAAATAGTGAGTTAACAATTGTGTGATGCTATTGAAAGAATAGATATAATACTAATTATATATACTCTAGTAGTAGAAAACAAGTTAGTAATCCAAGTTATAAATAAATATTAGTTGAAAACAGAATTTAGGCAAAGCTTGCTTGGGTTTCAGGATATTAGAGTTGGTAGTAGTTGTATAGAAGTACAAACTAAGTTTCTTAATAAGCGTTGTTATATATCAAAATTATAGTAAGTAAACAGATAATTTATTTGTTAAATAGAGTGCTTACACTAAGTATTGCTAATAGCAATAGCTAGGATTTAATTAGTATTTGGTTGTTTGGTATTTTAGTTTTTGTTACTTGACCTATTATAGCAAGTATTCAGAATCCTCTAGTAAGATTGATATTGTTAGTAATAAAAGAGTTGGAAGTGATTATAAAGATAAATAGTATTGAGATCTAGAAATATATTGTAGAGATTCTAGAACCACTTAAGAAAAAGTTCAGATAAGATTTTTTGTATAGGTGTTGTCACTTTAGTAGATATATATTGGTATAGTTTGTAAATTGTTTGATAATACGTATATATATTTGCTTTGTTAATATAGATTTTAATATATTGGGGTTTGTAACTATATTTAATTATTATATTAATAAGGGCTTCTGAACATTTAGTGCAAATAGGCCAAGGATTAGGTATGTTGATAATTCTGATATTATGTAATGTGTGGTATAGATGTTAAAGGGTATTTTGAATTATACTCAAACCATTTTCAGCTCTACAAAACTGATTATAGTTGTTAAAACACAAATACATTTAAAAAGACCTTATAACAATAAAATATTGATTTATAAAAATAAAATTAAAGTGCTAAAATGTTATTAATGTCCAGTTAATGTCATAATATCAGTGGTCCATTGAAACAAGTTCTTTCACAGCCCAGAGATAGTGAATACTTCCACTTAGATGAAACAAAAATAAGTTTTTATTTGAAAATTTTTATTAATGGAATTTTTGACTAGAATAAAATGCATTATAAGCAAGTTTTGATTGGCTAATTACTCATAATTAAACGCGCAAAAATCCATTAATAGTGATATCTAAAAAGAATAGAATAATTAAAGTTATCATGATAAAATTTGAGATTTGATGGTGAAAGTATTTACCGTCTCTGTCAAAGATACAGCAACTTACATTCACTAACTTCCTTTGTTGGTCTCGCTAAGGAAGACTTTATTAAAAATTTAATGATATCAAAATCATTTCCGCTATTTATCAGATTTCTAGCAAATTTTGATAATGCATTCATGATTTGCTGCGTGTTAATAAACTTGCTCATGTACATGTAATCCAAGTATTTTATTGGTTCAGGTTTTGGTTTCATGGTATTAGCTTCTAATTCAGGGTTTGGTCTCGCATTGTCAGCCTTCAAGAATTGCCTTTTAATTATGTCTTTACAGTTCTCGCATGTAAGTTCACAGTTACAATCGTGTACATATCTAGCTATAGGTTTTTCTTTTTAATCAGAGCCTTTGCATTTTTTAACTAGGGATGCAAACGACTCAATCGAAACTATTTATTAATCGGTTTTTATGATAATAAGTATACAAGCCGAATCAAGCCGTTTGCATCCTATTTTTAATTAGTTCAGCATAACATTAAGGTGTCCCAACAGCGATTTCTGGTCGTAATACACAACAGATTCTTATGGCTAGATCGTTATTGAATACGTAACTATCGAAAGCTTTTTCTCCTGTTAATATTTCCGTTATCATAATTCCGAGGCTATAAATATCTGGGGTTTTCGCCAATTTGGATTTGGTGCTACGTAAGGTAAAACACCATATACTTCTTTTTTCATATTAGAAAGTCCCAAATTTGTAATATAAGCGTTATTTAATTGGTTTTGCAAAATATTTTCACTAAGATCTTGATGTTCTAATCCTAGTGAATGAATTGTTTCAAGATCAGATGTTATATAACTTAATAATTTTTTTCCTATTTCATTTGCGATAATTTTTGATGTTTATTGCGCAAAGATCACGTTTCTAACTGCTAAGTATTCCAAAATAAGACCACATTTTCCTAAATAGTCTCTTGATAATCCGTAACATTTAAGAACGATGGATTTTTATATCCGATCTCGCAAAACGCTTTCAACTTTAAAAAACACACTAATTACTAATTAATATATTTAAATATTTAAATAAAACTCAATAAATTTACCATCAAATAAATCTTGATCACAAATTTTTTTTTAATTACGAATGAGTATTTATCATAAGAATCCTTATACTCAATTTGACAGCGCAATAAACAGTTGCAAACCCTCCCTTTCCGATCTCTTGAATATTTTCAAATTTATTATACGGAAACCACAATAATTGGTATCTCCCATCATCCAATATTTTTTCCACGTTTCCTCAATATTGCAATAAGAGAATTTCTATATTTCTATTTATTACTAAAAATTAATAAAGATTTGGCAAAATAAACCAAAATTTCAAGAAAAAACGTACCATGACATTTGTTTTTCTCTATACAGTGTTGTCACTTGGCCATTGGTCAAATTGGGCAAAATAATTTATTCGGCCAAAATAGCCAAATATTCAAATAGAAAAGCTAGCAATATGTTTGGTTAAGGTTATATAAGTAAAATTTTTGGCCAAAGTTTGGATATTGGACATTGGCCGTTGTCTATTTTGGCTCGCCAAAGGCCAAAAAAAATTTGTTTGGCCGCAAGAAATTGCCAATTATCTCTATAAATTAAAATTATTATATCAAGCATTTTATAGTTTTTTTTTTTTTTAAAGAACTTACATTCGAAATCAATGCTCGGCATCTTTTAAGTCCTTTTTTGTTCCAATACTATTTCAATATCAATACCCAACTTTTTTATTCCATCAACTAGATCAAGTTTAGCAGATTACAAATACGATTCAAAGCGTTTTTTAATCTTTTTAACTCCAATTCCAATTTGATACCATTCTCCAACGCCATAAATCGAACAAATATTTCCTATTCGAGGGGACGTCTAAAGCGGAGGCAACTTATATTTAATAATTTTTTTCGATTAATTTAGGGTTAGGGTCTTCTATATTG